GGGGTGGGGATGGAACAACGTTTGTGGACTTTAACCTACAACTGGAAAAGCAGCAATATCAACAACTGAAAACTGAATCAAAGGCAGCATCAACAGCTACCAAGAAGTAAGAGAATCGATAGCAATAGCATAAAGCAAACCAGACTTTATTTCTTAAGCTGCCCCTTCACACATAAACATCAAAGAAAAATTTCATGGTACAAAGCGAATTTTGTTTCCGCCGTTGTGTTTCTGTCATTTTAGTGAATTTGTCAGGCGCTCCACATAGCATGCAAAACTACTGAGTTCTATTCCCAGGCGAGGAAAACATTTTATTTTATGTATTGCGTCTTATTGCTATTTGTTTGAGTAAATTGAATCACAACGACACACAATAATAATCATTTAGTGTTGGGCAAAAGTAAAACAGGCAGACAGACAGACAGACAGACAGACAGACAGACAGACAGACAGACAGACAGGCAGACAGACAGACAGACAGACAGACAGACACACTGGCAGACAAAACAAAGGGAAAGTAGAGCAGTACATATAAGACCTACCAATGGCGTCCTCTAACCACCCGCCCACACTGCTTGGTCTACCTGGGGGGGGGGGGACGGAAAATGTACATCTCTTGGACAAACCAGAGATATACCGACGATCATAGAAGTATATATAAAACAACACGGTTAATTAAGTTTGCAGATGACTCTGCTATTATTGGATTAATAAACCATGATGAAAAAGAGTATTTCGAAGAAATCTGTATCTTTTTTAAATGGTGCAATTCAAATTTTTTTAAAGTGAACCTCTAAAAAACAAAGCAAATGATTTTTTATTTTAGAAGAGAAAAACCAACAATCCCACCACTCGTAATTGAACAAGAAACAATTAAAATCACGGATTCATGCAAATATCTTGGTCTTACAATCGACTACAAATTTACATGGCAAAACCACGTAAACAATATCGTTAAAAAGGTAAATCAGAGGCTGTACTTTCTGAGGAAACTTAGGTTTTTCAATCTGAATCCATCCACCCTTCAGATATTCTACACCACCACCATAGAAACTTTGATAAATTTTGGTATCACTTGCAATGGTAGCAATTTGGGAAGGCAGCACATTATAAAAATAAACAAGTTGATAATAAAGGAATCAAGAACAATTGGCAGAGACCTAAGTAACTTTGAATATCTGAACAAGACAAAAGTTCTAAAAAAGGCGGAAATAATGCTTAGTGACCATAGCCACCCACTGGCATCGGAATTTCAACTATCGACCCCCAGACTAAACGATACATAAAAAAAGCAAGAACAGACAGATTATAGAAATTCATTCGTACCAACTGCAGTGAGGTTACTGAGCACACAGTGCTACAAATGAAACAGCAGATAGATAGATAGATAGATAGATAGATAGATAGATAGATAGATAGATAGATAGATAGATAGATAGATAGAGAGATAGAGAGAGAGAGAGATAGAGAGAGATAGATAGATAGATAGAGAGAGATAGAGAGAGAGAGAGAGAGAGAGAGAGAGAGAGAGAGAGAGAGAGAGAGAGAGAGAGAGAGAGAGAGAATGTTTTACGGAGCGGGTTGTCCCAGCACGTGAGACATGTATTTACTTGACCTAATGTCCTGTCTTGTTGTGCGTTTGCGTGAGTGCACCTTTAGGTCTAACTTTAGTAACGTCTACTGCCATTGTTAACGACCAAGACAAATTTCTCCTGGCGAGATGAATAAAGATTGTCATTGTTAAAACATGACAATTTTGGGGGTGTGGGGGGTGAAAGATCCATTATCAGAACGATCAGAAAAAGACAACTGAGATTCTTTGGCCACGTACATAGATCAAATGGACTAGAAAAACAGCTGCTGTGTGGAAAGATAGAGGGAAAGAAGAGCAGAGAAAGACATAGAACAACAAACAGAGGTGGCCTGAACAGCTTTACAACGAATTATAACACAAAGAGAAAAACCGAGCTGATCAAGAAAACAGACAACAGGAAGGAAAGGGATTCTATGATCGTCAATGTCTGTTCCAGACCTGACACCTGAAGAAGAAGAAGGGGGATGTACTAAATTAACAATCAACTTTTCTGTCTTTTGTAATTTAAACAGGTATGTTCCCCAGCCGCCGAGGCCACAATGTACATACGCCCCTAAAATGCAAGACGTATTCGTTTTGAAAAGAAAATGTCTCCCTTCAATCTCCAAAGACAAGGACAATACAATGATTAAGCAAGAAGCATCCGAAAATGAAACAAAAAGCGACGCCGCACCTCGGGAAAAGAACAAATCCTCGAAGAGGCGGATCTCTCGTCCTCGGCACAGAGACATAGTGTCGTGTGAGACAATGAGACCCATTGAAGAGATAGGTGAGGAATTAAGTTCTTTTTTCTCGTCTTTTCTCGGAAAATCGAAAACTGATACGGTATGGCATGGATTTAACGCTTCTATCATCATAGAAATGTTACTTTAAAGATAAATTCTGTGACTTGAGCATCTTACTCCAATAGAACTGAGCCCAGTGGGATGAAAACCATGACTCCATTCACTCATCGAAAATCCCCCTCCCCCTTAAAAAACCCCCCACCCAAACAAACAAGTCGCCAAAACTTTCTTATCGAGCAAAATATCAGGAAATTTAAAGTTAGCAAAGAACAAGCCCCGTCTACCCACGTATTTAAATTCAAGGTGTACCTTTTGTGTCTTCCAACACCCCACACATGGCCTCCAGTGTGGACATCCCTGAGCGACCAGGCCATGGCCCCGCCTCTCCTGTCCCCCTGGGTGTTCCCTGGAGAGCTTCCCGTGACGCCGCCGCCACTGGAGATCCTTCACAAAGATAACCAACAGGCGCCGTGCTTTCTCGACAAGCTCCACAGCAGTCTCTTCAAGGAACAAGGCGGCCTTGAACTTCACGACAAGGTCAGAAAGTGATGAAGCGCGCACGTGACACGTAACACCACCCCACCCCCCCAAAATCGAAGTTCCGTCCGGAATTACGCCAAAGTTATTTTGACATTAAAAGATGTGCTGTTGCTTTTATCATTTCATTCGTTGCGCCTATTCCCGACCGTGAGAAGTTGCTGTTGATGATGTCATGATCAGTGAAGCAGTTTGTGGACCTTTGCTCTTAGGCCAAATTCCACAAAATATTATCTTCGATATCACTGGGCTGGTCGGGGTTAACTGTCATGCACACGAACGTATTCGTAAAAGAGACGTTAAAAAAATCATTTGATCTAGTTCTTTTAAAGAGTAATAACAATCACGAGCATATTTTGCAGCTGTAGTTGCATAATCACCGTCACCATCGATGTTAAACAACAGCATAGTCAAGCTGAAGAAAACGTGGTAATATTTTGAATCGACAGGCTACTCTGTAGGGGCGTCAACTTTTGTTGCAGTGTGGACACGTATTAAAATTCGTTTGATCTACCAAGTCATTGTTGTGTCGATAAAGATATTATGCTTATTTTATATATGTAATATACGAAGTGTCTCGCCAGACATCAGAGCTATAGAAAGCATGTAAGAAAAAGGGGGGGGGGGCAGAATTGTCAGACACATGAAAAAGAGAAGGGGTGCGTTGCACAT